CAGTCTATATTTTTGTTTTCACTTTTTTTGCAGCTACTGATGACACGAGTAACAGGATGAAAGAGCAAAAGTGTGCTCAAATTCTCTCTTCCTGTGTAGTTAATGCAAAACTTTTGTTAAACCCCTGAATGAAGCTAGAAATCTGCAATTTTTATTCTGTACAACTTTTTTCACACTGAGCTTACTGTTCTTTAAAGGTTTGTTCTGAGCACCAGATAAGGCTTTTAAAGATATTACATCCAAAGGGGAAACTCAGTTTCATACTAGAGTGTGGACACAAAACAGGTCAGATTACTAATTTAGTTGCTGTTAGAGTGATATTGAAAAAATGGCAAAATGCAATGAGGTAAAAAAGAACCAGTGAAGATTAATGCCCTGTCAGAACAAGTGGAAACTAATAACATGGATCAGTGAAATCAGAAATTAGTGGCTTGTGTTTCAGTATGGGATAAATATGTTTGCTAAAGTAGATCCAAGTATCTGGAAAAGGTGTGATGTAGGTTTAAAGGCCCAAAATTAAAAATAGATAAAATCAGTAATCCACCAGTGGCTGCTGTATTGCACAATAGAAAGTAAAGCAACCAGAAGTAAAGATGAAGATATTTACTAACTTAGACTGGACTTAGAATATATGTAGTACATCTCTTGCTTTAAAATGACCTCATGGCTTGTTTTGCAAGTGAATTGTAAAATCCCGAATTAACTTCTTAAGACCTTAAGAAGTTGTGTAAAAGTCATTACAGGAAATGCTCTAATACACTTATTTAAAATCTGATGAATATGAAGGGAGACTATATCCTCACTAATGTCTTTGGAACATTCTAAATGGCTGATATCTGTGAATGTGAGTGCAAGTGGATGTCTGTCTCTGTTTTACTCCTGTGTTAGACTGGGGAGCTATCCAGACGGTACCCTCCTTTTGCCAAAGGGTACCCAAGGGCAGCACAGCTGATGCAAATGCTCGGCAGCAGCTTGGGTGCCGGATGGCTCAGGCTTGGTCCTTGCCATCTATCTATACACTACATATATATTGAAAACTGACAATGAAAATGATTTTGTCAATCAGATGGCATTGCATGGTGGACAAAAATATGATGATACTTTTCTAGCTTCATCAATACATCAGTTTTTACGAGATTTCCAACACTGACGACTGAATTGCAGCCTCAAAGCATGACAAAGCCAGACTTATAAAGATTTAAAGAGCTCCACTTCATCCTCTGGAAATCCAGAGCCTTTTGTAGCCTAGAGAGGCTTCAAAGGGGAAAGACCAGCTGTAGATGAGGTGAGGGAATTATCCGCATACTAAACCCACGGAAGATGTGACGACCAGGCTGCGGATTATGTGTGGTGACATAGCAGAGGGTAGATTATAGCTTGGCTTATATTCAGAGGTGAACATAAGTGGTCCGCAGGTGCGCATGCACTTTCAAAATAAAAGACGCGCACCAGATAAGAAGTTGCAATGTGCGTTTGCGTACATAAGATTGTCCGCTAAATCCCACTCTAGACACTCTGCCTTTTAAATAATATAAAAGGCACTGTTTTTGTCCGCTGGAGTGGGATTTTCACGGCATATTCTGCACCACATCTCTGTGCGTTCATCATTTGTTTGAAGCCAACTCACTTCTTGCAACCACTTTTCCGAGAATACGTGCTTCTTTTGCGGTTCGGACTTCTTCTGGCAATTCTTTGGAGGTGGAGGAACACCAAAGTAATTGCTTAAAGGAGCTTCTTCGACATCATTAAGAGTTCTAAACAAATGTCTGTCCTCCTCCAGAACATCTTCTGTACGCAAACGTGCGTTGCAACTTCTTATCTGGTGC